GCGATGTCCTAAGCTTGTTTGTTGTCTTCAATATTCCCTGCATAATGATATGAAAGCTATAGTATCAAAATTTTTAATAACTAGTTATGCGTGATTCCATTGTGTAACCTCAGTCCGTTTTGTGTTTCTCTACTGTGGCTTAAATATAGATGATCATTATTAATATTTTTGCGCTCGTATGACCTCAGTCTGTCTTGTTTGCTGCAATATTCCCTTCGTAATTTATTTTGTGGAAAAATGATGTATCAAAATTGTTAAAACTTAAAAACTAGGTTTGCGCTAAGTTTGGTACAGTCGATTGCCACACAATATAACGAAATCAACCCCCTCGCTATTAATGGTCCCGAACAAGACTTTACAGAAGCCCCTGTAACTAAAATTTAAACATGGGACTACGCAGCATAAACGCTACCACTTTTTAATTAGTAGCCATTCAATACGATGGTAAATCGTTGATTAGGTCTACGTCGCCTACCAGACACTCGGATGGTCCTTCCTTGACAAGACCCATAACAAAGAGTAAATATTGTACAACATATGTTTGGATTAGATATCCTAGATTTAATCAAAAGCGCAATCATGTCTTTTGTGTAAAGAACATCATAGCTTATAATTTCCCGCGCTAGAAATGCATTCGGAACACTTAGTGCGTTAGAATGTAACTCTTAATGAAACACAAAACATTAACGATTAGAGAAAAATTTCCTCTCTGTTTCCATTTCACCTTTTCTCTAGCCTCGCATACTTATCTTTTTCTCAATTTTCTTTAATAGTCCACTAATGATGTATTAGGACTAATTTTAATAAATTAGGTGTCTACTTAAGTTCCATAAAAATTCCCTTGACTGTGTGGTGACTGAGTACGAGACACATATAGCCTAGTGCTAACGATAAGTGTTTTTTGATATTTCGTAATTTTCCTAAATAAGTAAAGGATATGCGTTATGTACGTAACTATGTAATTTTGCATCGTTTTTTATGCATTTGTTATTTTAATTCATGAACGCGAACAAAATTTTCACGAACATACATGTATATTTGCTTATTAAGATAATGTCAGTTATCACTCTGAATTTAACAAACGAGGATTTATGTGAACGCTGGTGACATTAATTTGAGTTGCTATATTACGAATAAAGGATTTTTCGCTACTGGCAGTATAACATGCTTAGGATATCCGCCGCCTCGTAACTTATGAATTCCTCCACGTAAAAAGTATACTCGAAATATTTAAGCACTACAAATCGTGACGTATATTCAATACTAAACTTTATTCTTGTTTATTACCCCTAAAACATAAAATTATAAGAAAATCTTCCTAGCCCTGCTTTGTTACACCTTCTCACCTCCCTTCCTGTTGAAAGTTTTGCATTATGATATGCTAACTCGTTGCCCCCTCACGTCACCAGTCCCGTGATGATACTCCAGGAATGTTTATCAAGATTGCTTTGTTTACGTATTTCATTTTATTATTTTTTCTAACTACACAATACATATGAATTGCCCTCGTATTCGCATCGATTTGCATCATGATTAATCCCGTCATGCATTTGAAAAGTGTTGATTAATCCGCCTATACGAATAAATATTTTCTCGTGGGTATATACATACTTAATCTTGTAATTACTATGATATTATACTATTGTATTTAAGTATACCATATATTATCTTTCGATTGCTTCACAAACAACAGTATATGCTGGTACATGTGTTAACAAGGCACTGTAAAACATTGTACTAAGTATTGAATATCAGGATTTTATCGCAACTATCCCTGTAAACGTTCTACTGTGTCTGTGAATATAAGAATACATGATGAATGCTTTCACAATCCTGAAAACCGTTGTCCGCATAATCGTTGTGGGCTGATACAGTGTTATTGATTCTAAGAGAATCACTGGGTTACTTGTTGTTAAGAGATTATAGCTTTTTGATCGCGTGTTAGATTATACTCCTTCAATACGATGTTAAATCGTTGATTACGGTTACGACGCCTACCCGACACTTGCATGGTCCTTACTTGGCAAGACCCATAATGAACAGTAAATATCGTATACTGCTTCCATTCCACCTTGTTAATGGTGCCCTGATCTTTTACTCAACTCTCGTTAATGGTGCCCTGATGATGTATTAGAACTAATATTAATAAATTAGGTCTCTACTTAAATTCTAGAAAAATTCCCTTGATTGTGTGGTGTCTGAGTACGAGACACATGTAGCCTGGTGCTAACGATAAGTGTTTGCATTATGATTGATACTTCGTTATTTTCCTAAATAAGTAAAGGACATGCCCTGTGTACGTTATTACGTAGTTTTGCATCATTCGCTCATGCATTTGTTAGTTTAATTCATAAACGCGAACAAGATTTTCACGTACATACGTATATATTTGATTATTAAGATAATGTCAGTTATCACTCGGATTTTAAAAAACTAGGATTTATGTGGACGCTGGTGTCATTAATTTGAGTTGCTACTTTTCCTAAAAGCAACACCCGACAGTACAATAGGCTTAGGATATCCACCGCCTCGTAACTTATGAGTTCCCCCTCATAAAGTATACTCGAAATATTTAAACACTATAAATCGTGACGCATGATCATTTGCTAAACATTAATCTTGTTATTATAAGGGAATATTCCTAACCCTGCTCTGTTACACCTTCTCACCTCCCTTCCAGTTGAAAGTTTTGCATTATGATATGCTAACTCAATGCCCCCTTCACGTCACCTGTCCCGTGATGGTATTGTAGGACCGATTATCCATTTTGCTTTGTATAAGTGTTTCATTATGACTGATATATATATTTGTGACGATATATATATATATATATATATATATATATTTGTTAACTACACAATACATATGACTTACCCTTGTAATAGTCATGATTAATTCCGTCACATATTGGAAAGGTGTTGTTTAATTCTTTCATACGGATACACACTTTCGCCTATGTGTGTACATGCTTAATCTTGTAAGTACTGTAAGTATTTTACTAATTATTATTATATCTAAATATACCATATATTATCATTCGATTTCTTCACTAACGACTATATATGCTTGTACAGGTGATAACAAGATACTGTAAAACATTGTATTAAGTACCAGGGCTTAATCGCAATTATCCCTGTAAACGTTCTACTATGTTTGCGAATACAACAATGCATGATGTATGTTTTCACAATCCTGAGAACTGTTGTCCGCCTAGTCGTTTAGGGCTAATATTCGTATTCATAGAGATAACATTTTTTTTGAAATATATATACATATAACCTTAACGGTGTTATTGATTCCAACAGAAACACTGGGTTATTCGCTGTTAGGAAATTATAGTTTTTTTTGGCTTTATCGTAGTCAGCGATGGTATCATCATGCCTTTACAATTGATCTGTCTTGAGTAGGCTATCATGAGTAACCATATGAATAGAATTTTCGTACCCTATTGCTATAAGTGATGTAACGAGTAAAACCTGAAGTCGTGTGGCATAATACTATTGATTGGGTCAGTACGATTCAACGATTCATGACGAACCATTTGAATGGAATCACTTCGTCATAAAATAAGCCGACAAACCCAAATTTACGGGTAGAAAGTCTGATGAAAATCTATAACTACCGGTCATCGAGTGAAGTAGAAAACCATATTTTAAGAGCGTATGTATGATGTTTACCTTATATATGGGGTAAAGATTATGAGCTACGCCCCACCATAATGAACAATTACTGTATGGTGACATTTGTGGACCGAAAACATTCACATGCTGATTTGTTCTTAAGATATGGTAGTACCCTCCTGGCTATAACGACTTCAACTACCTCGATTAGGTAGATGGGTAGATATAAAATTATTTAGGATTTATTTAATATATATATATATATATAAATTTAAAAATTAAAAATTAAAAATTAAAAATTAAAAAAACAAAAATTAAATTTTTATAAATTAAAAATAACCTGTAATAATATTTCTTACAATATAAAATTAAAAATAAGATGTAGAATATTGAGGGAATGTCTTGAAATATGGTTATACAATCAGGCGTATGGGTCTGATTGATTTTGAATTTTTAAACATATTTTTTATTTTTTCAAAAAGTAATCGGAAGAGACAAACGCACAATCACGATTGCAAACAAAACAAAAAATACTCTGATGATGACAAAACATCGAAACACAGCCTAGAGAAAAGTAGTTCGACGTAAACAAAACATCAAAATGTACAGATATGCCCAAAAATTATGGTCCATTAAAATTCCCCCCAAAAAAACCTCAAAAGATCGCCAATTATGATGTAAGCATTCAAACCACGGACAAACTCGCCGCTATTCTTATGATCAATATCGTAAACCTTTTATACATAGGACTACACAATCATGTACCATTCGGCGCTACTATTTATGCTTTTCGCATCACCCGCTTACCACAGCAAATCCAGACCTACTCTCTAATTACCACAATTTGACTCCTAATAGGACACTCATTAGGAACAATCAGATGTGCATAGTATTAGAGAAACTCACATACACACAAATACTCAAATATTAAAAAACATGATACACATATAACCTACATACACCTGTATACACATGACCCAAGTTATTTACTAACCATAGATCTACATGCAATTACTTAATTAATGATCCAACCGAAGCACGTCCAAGAAAAATTTGTTTGTTATACAGACACTCGCCAAACAATATAGGTCATCAATACGTCCCAAGTTAACCCCTACTGTCGTCAAAAATGGAGAGATCGTCAAATTTTTAACCGAACCCTTAGCTTTTCACTGCCTCATTGCACAAGCCTAACCTTCAAAATTTGTGGGAAGCTCCATTTCAGTACACCCTCAGGGAACGTACGAAGTACGAGAACAAACGGAGCACATCTTAAAAAAACTTTGGTCATACACTAAAACAGTATGGCGTATCAAGATAAAATCCCCCAGTGGCGAACAAATTTCACCAAAAAATGATCAAATTATCCAAACACTAAACCGAATCTTCGGTTATTCATTCTCAAGTCCTGTAAATCCATCCCGGATTCACTTGAAATCTTCCATGCTATACACTATGCATTCATATTAACTCATGTTCTAATGACTGTTACTCATCCTGCTCCAACCGTGCTTAGATTAGTTATTTAATGAACGCTACCCAACGCTTACTTGGCCCCACACTAGAAACGATCCATAAGGCAACCTACGCTCCTCGTAGTACGCATGCTGCCTTAATCTAGGGGTTTGCAGACAAAACGCTACCCAACTTTACACCACTCGTATAACCAGGCTTATACTCCAGGCTAGAATAAGACCCCCCTCGAATCCGCAGCAACAAGATCAGTCATGATGAGCATGCACACTACCCAGAAAAGATAACCCAGCTTATGCTCTCATTACCACTCATAACCATCCCCTATGCTCAATACACCACGCATATTGCTGCGACCGCTCAAAGGTGCTTCGAGCACAGCCTCCCACTCAACAAAGCCAATCTGCTGCTCCGCATGTTCTTGCAATAGATCGCTTGTCAGTAATCCCACCATCTCCGCCAACACATCCACCCCCCCACGTGGCACATCGTTTGGAACATCCCCCGATGTCTTTGTCACGAAGACGGTCACTTCGCAAAGCAGGTCATCCCAACAGCCTAGGCCCACACACAACTTCAGAACCAACCGCCCATCGGCGGTAACACGATAGTGACGAACATTGCTACACGTCACACGCAGGCTATACCTAAAATCCATATCACCTCCTTCACCCCGGCGATGACGAAGCTCCTGGACCTCAATTGTCTTGCCATGAACCTCACCCACGCATGTGGTTACCATATCCATGGTTATACTAAGGGCAGGCCACACTTATACCTTAGAAAATCAACTCCTGTCCGAGACGAAACACGCACGAGTTGGCCCCAAAATTCAAGTAAAGATCCGCCTCTGAGCACATACAAATCATGTATTACACTCTGCAAACTCCAATTGCTTTACTCTGTTTCGCCACGTCAAATGACACTCATGGAATGCGCAGATAGTTGTCCACAACGGAGTACATTCTGCCACACACTACTCCGTAGAATCGCTACCATGAAACCCAAGGCTAACTCAGTAACGAGCATACTAACTAGTAGAATGCACGTCCAGTTTTATACCTATTCGACCATCAGCCCAACCAGCTGAACCCACACATACACCCCTATCGAAAAAGAATTCACCTAGAACAAAACGAGAGCCTAGACAATAATTGAGAACTCACTCAAAATATTAACCGCTCTCCGGCTAAGCCCTACGCCCAACACGAAAAAATGCAAAGGCTACCTACTGAGATTAAAAACCATTTAACACAGTCCTGGGTTTAGACAAGCCCCCTTGCAAGCACCAGCATTAAAACCTGACAAGAATATGAAACTTCAGGGACGTGCGCAGCAATACGCTCACCTTATTCCAAACACAGACATATTGCCCTTTAAATTTTGAAAAACAAAATTAATATGAGAAAATAAAATAATAATTAAAAAAAAAAATTAATTAAAATTAATTAAAAAACATAAATCTTACACTTAAAAAGCAAAGTAAAATTAACTCTTTTTCACAAAAACCATAAATTATACGCTGTCACACCGCACATCTCCTGTCACATTACCGCAAACACAAGGTAACACAACAAGACACCCTATATCCACACTCTGGACACCAATTGGCAATACTCATCACTGTTCGTTCGTACGCGTATACACATACACACCACGATCCAGATACTACATATATTAGAAATTAAAAATAAAAAACGATGCCTGCGCAGAATGCATAAATCGACCCCTTACCATCCGAATATGTTTGTTACAACACTATTACGTGGCAACCGTCATATAGATTATCATATCCCTTTGGGAACGCCATAAGATTGACCAACCGAATACACGTGGTATAACTAATACTAAATATATAACCGCAACGTGTGCAGGATGAAGAAAACATCCTCATGGGATGACATCCGGAGCTCGCTACTGCCATCAGACCCTTCGCTGCACTACGACCGCCCACAGCACACTGCTAAATCGCCATGCTCGCAATCCCTGCAGATGTCCCTACTGCAGGTATACCAAGCCACACTGGGACGAACACCTTTTCTGATTGAAAATCTCTCCTTCACCGACTTAGCTTCGCTTGTCCATATCATGTAGAACAAGCTAGAGGAGCTCAATGCCAAAATTCAAGACTTCGCCAACAACATCACCGACTCCTGCAGGAAAGCAGCTATCGAGAACAGGGAACTGAACCTTATGATTGCCAAAGCCGAGAAAATCATTATCGAGCTACACGGATATGATTCGTCTCACCTGGATTCCGCTAGACACGTTTCCATCACTGAGAGAACCGAAACTTTCAGCGAGACATACATAACTCGCATGTCGCTCTCGCAAGCCGAACTTGACTACTTCAGAAAAAAGGAGGCAGAACGGAGGAACAATGCATACGCTGAGCCTTCTCTGATCGCAAGAGATGCTGGACACAAATATGCTAAGAAAAACCCATTTTTGTCGTTGGCATCCGGCATATGGACTGAAAAAGCCGTATTGCGCGTTCATAACAGACTCTGGAAACTTGACACATTCAACTACACTGCACCAATTAGTGTCGAAGCATACATGGCTCTTGCCAGGATCACAAAAGCAGAAGTAGAGAACTGCCGCGCTGCTGCGAGGAACGGGAACATCTACTTTCCGGCGACCAGGTGCGGATTAGATGCAGAGTTCCCGCCGATTGTCAATCTCAAGAAGGGTAAATGTCCAAAGAAACCACTCCTCCACCAGAAAGGCATCCCGAAGTTCCCCGCAAACCTCTCTGAGCTCAAGAAGATTTGGAATGCAGGAAGGCCTTACCTGAAGTGTCCATGCAATGGTTGCGAGAACAATTTCACCTGGTTCGATCATATGATCTGGTACGTCATCGGCAACCTGGATAAGATAGACCCGCAAGCTCCTTCGGACAAGATCAGGATGCTCGAGTTCCAGGCATTGCTCCAAACAACTTGGAGAAAGCCGGTACTAGCGCAAATTTCCTTTGTCTTCATGAGAGAATACATGATCAAGATCGTTAACATGATCCTTACACAGAACAACAGAATCTCTGCAGAAGAAGTCATGGAGCATGAAGACCTCAGACACGTACCGTTCGCCCAAAAGTTTGATGTTGCCCTGCTCCCCGGCGCCGATGGGGTCCTTCACACCTGACAAACATGAGACCCTCCACAAAAGTCGAGGACAATTCGTTGAGAAGATGTAGGCAAATGACTCGGCAGCACGCCGATCCCAAATGCCTTGTTCACCACACCGGGTCGAACAACAGCTACCACCCCTATACAGCAGACACAGACTGGCAATACACTCACAAGAGAATCGGGCAACCCGACCTGCAACACGCAAGGTTTCAGCAACACACCTTCCGAAACCACTCCCACTGTTACCCCAACAACAGCTACACCTGCCGTGACTACAGCACACGTGATGCCATTACACCAAGACAGACAGACGCCTGCAGCAACAAGCACACCTTTGCGAAGCACAACATCTGCTAATCTCAGCCCCGTAACAAATACCACTGCCCACGTGACACACGGCTCTAATAACGGCACGACAATAAACGCCATTAGCAACACCATTCCAGCGCCACAGCGACACACTGCCGACGCAGCAACCACACTCTGACCAGTAATAGAAGGTTTCGCACATGCACAAACAAGAACTAATGCCTTCGCAACTTCTGTCGCACAACTCGCCGCACGACAGAACAATGTCGCCTCCACCAACAACTCCGCTCCCACGCCCGCCACCATCTCCATGCAAACTGCAACAAGACTAGCCAGCACTACACATAACTGCTACATTACACCCCTGAACGACCAAGCCAACACACACACAGCACACATCATTAATAACACTGCACCCATGACCACAATCTCACTTCCAATACACCTAAGCACACACACGATCAACCAAACTACCACAGCCCCCACAGATAGCCAAAGACAAGCCCGACGGAGAGAACAACTTCTGAGCATAGCCATGAACCCGCTTCCGGCTGAAACTAGAAGAAACCGCAGAAGGGGTAACAAAACACAAAGGGTGCACCTTCCAAAGACAAGGACACAGGCCAAGAAACAGACAAGAAGGAAGAAGCCACAGTACGACGGGCGACAACCAGACATACAGGAGGCCTTCCTGGCGCAACAGCTATGACAGCCGATGATTGCGGCTCACCAACATGCACCATCGCATGATACGACTGAGATAGCGATGGCTCTTGCATCGACCAGTGCTCCGAGGCTACAGAGAGGAGAACGAGAATGGACACCACGAGAAGACCTGATCCTTAGACAATGGACGCAGACGGGCACGACTGCGAAAATACCCCCATCCGAGCGACAGACGGCAACAAACGTTGAAGTCATCCAGGTCATCAGCTGCGACATCAATGACGAAGAAAGAAGACAGCTCCCGATCACAATCAGCTCCCCATCACATGACACGCCGAGCCGTCCTATCTCTGGCATTGACGCCCTTAGAACAAACTATGGAGCCAGCAGTGCGGACTCTTCGCTGCTTCGAACCAACAGTGGTAGCACGACGCATATGACAGAATCTCAATCTTTAGAAGAGTCATGGAAACGCGTTTGTAGAAGGCTTAGTCCAGATTACCAAAACAACCTCCCTAACTTGGGCAGAAGCTAGCTCAACAGTAAACCGTAACAAACTGGAGAACACTGTAGAGACACTGAGCAATTTTTTGGATTATTACTTGGAGCACTATTTAAGAAACTGAGCAACTGCTATAATGGCCAATTAGAGCTTATGCAGATATTGATCTCTACCACATATATACAGAATAAAACATAACGGAGTCCCTACGTACAGACACCAGACTTAAAATGTCTTTCAACAGATTAGGATTCCTAAACAGACTATGACTGCAGACATTTCTACTTCCGTTGATACGAATAAGATAGTATCATGATGAGCTCTAAGCAAACGATTGGATTAATGCTGTTTAGAACTCAATATTCTTTTGGATAATAAATGTTTTACGAGTATGAAAAAACGAAATAAGTTATAACTGCAAACCAGATCCGGACTATTTTTCGAATTCTATCTACCACATAGGTATTCTTTACTAACCAATAACTATGTTCACTTCTCTGAGCAGTTGTATAATTGGATGAGCATGCATCTTTTGTCCTATAGCACTTCATTCGGTTATACTGACACAACTAATGATTTTTTCTGAGTCTCAGTTTGAGTGGATATGAATGTAAGCTCTTTTGAATGAATTCATATCAGGACATATGGCGGACACCCCAGTTCCATACCTGAGAACCTGCCTTGCTTGGCCGAAAATTTATATACTTGGGTTGTTGTCGTACCCACACGTTCATAATACTTGTCTGCATTGTCCAGCCGTGCATTGGTAATTGATCTATGCAAACAACTACATACCTGTTTTTACCGCCCAACGAAAATTGATGTTCTGACTAGATATAGTAATAACTAAAGGGACTGTCAGGCCTGAATAAGCTCTGGTATAAATGCTGGTAGCTAAAAACGCAGATAGCTCCGCACTACAATTTCTTCATCAATCCAGACATAACTGCATATCCCTCAGTTCAAATATGTCCCTGCCTACCTGGCCTCGTGTCTGTTCGGGTTGCTCTTCGTGCTTTCTCCTCCATACTCGCATGACTTCATTTGGTTAATATGCCCGTGCAAATGTGCTAGCCATCTATAAATACATGTTATGATAAGACACTAGTACACATATGACTCACAACTGGTCGTCAGCAATCGACCTCGCACTATGGGAACCAACCTCCATGGGAATAGTCATGCCCTCCTTCTGGTAGCCAGCCGGCCGAGAGTTCGTTAGCATACTGTCTGAATCTCGGTTGCTGACAAAAGCATTGGTCCGGGATTTGCTCTATCCAGGTAGATATCTTGAAGTCTTGAAAGACGACAGCTGGTTCGTATAGAGCTTTGGCTATGTGGTCGTTGTAGGTCTATGAGAAGGTGAATTTGTCTAGGACATGTATGGCTTCAGGGTTGTGTATTTGCATTATAAGTTTAAGTATGTTTTTGAATCTAATTCTGTCCATTATCCGGTTCGCATAGTGGTAGGAGATGATCTATTTGTCTGTTGTCTTTGTTGTTCTCCAGCCGAGCCTTCCGTCCTCCATTGCGTGAAGCCGTGGATCCTTCACATTTGTCGGACAGATGGCTGAAAAGAGTTTAGATTCAATATTAATAGACTTAGGTGTGAGGATCGCTATTGCCATGCTTATTTCGGGGAAGCGGGAGAGTGTAAAAGGTAGGCTATTTTCAATGTTATCCTTCCAAGTATGCCAGAAGGTGTTTTGAGCCACTAGTGGTAGCGACTGCGTATAATCTGTATATACTAGTTTGTATGGGGTAAGAGGTTTTAGTTCTGTGTAGTATATTACAAACGGCTGATGTCTGGGTGTGCATGTGTGCATTTTAGTGTTTCAAGCGGTGTTACTGAGCATGGTAATTTAACATCTATAGTTGTGTAGATGGTAGTTTATCGGGGTAGTGAGATAGCTACATGAGTACTCTTTGTCTTGGGCAGAGGTCTAGGTGACAGCAGACAAAGCTACAAAAATGAGCTAAAAATGAAGTAAAAAATGAAGTCATACAGGCGAGTCTTCTCATATCTTATTCTGGGCAACACAGTCGGCGAAGACATGCATGTGTTGGGTTCATGGAAGTGTATGCAGCCGATCATCCGGTACAGTGGAATCAGCTAGTCGAACTTTTTCATTCAGATCTGCTTCCTGAACTTCTATTACTATCTGGTCAGAGCGCGAGATCTTTCAGAAACCATATCCATCCATCTGTGTTTGGACATTCACACATGCCAATTTAGACAGAGTAGTCACACATTTGATTAACAGAATTTTATGTTTGGAATTCATATCATCAGTCTGTAGGGGTCAGACTCCTTAGCCATGTATAGGATATAGGTTTATGACAGACTTTTGTTCCTTGTGTGATGAAGGCTCCCGTGGAGTCGTCACGTTGCTTGCATGAACTGACTAAGGTAAATAATGGGATACTCCCGAAAGAGTTACCCTGCCATTCACCCGACTAAGTAATGATCTGGTGAAGTATCTGTCTGATTTTCGGCGTTGGTAACGGGAAGATGTCGTGCGTCTTCTCTGTTACTTTACGAAAGTAGGTGTAGGAGGTAATCCGGTTCTCCCGTGGGGTACATGTCTTCAACGACTAACAAAAGCAAAGGTGATAGGAGGGCTCTCCTATCACAGATCTGACCAGACTTGGAAAGGAACTAAGTACCCACTGTGTGAGTACACGAACTCCTAAGTCTGGGGCGATCTGTCCGACCTCCCGTAGGAGTCGGCATACCTTTTTCTCGTTAACAATGCATAGTCAAGATAGATGAACGGTCAGGATGACTCAACGAAGAGTTCTTCTTTATTAATCTTCTACACATCAAACTGGTGGTAGGATGGCTCCCGGGAGGGTTATCCTAATACTTGTTTGATTCGGAGATCAACTAACGAGGGAAGAAATGACGAAATTGTGTTTGGACAGTAGAGGGATACTCTCATGTGAGTAAACCTACTACTTGTTTGGGTATGACTGATGAATGACATAAGTAATTACTAACGATCTATTTGGTTAACATTAAATCAGGCTATGGGAGGCTCCCGTGGGGTCGTCCTATCGCTTGATTAAACGAGTGATATTCACAGTCATTCAGGTAGTAGTAGGATAACTCCCGTGAGGTCATCCTATTACAAGCTCGGACCTGAGCTGGAATAGTTAACTGAATTTAACTTTATTTATGCTCGTGCTCAATCGATGATCATACTCGATAGCGTGGTAATTTTCATACTATCTCACCCCTATACAGTTCCCGTCTAGCAGCGTGCGCATCATCATATCCTTACATCACATAGGCGTGTTGTGTTAACTTATGTATCGCGCCATTATGACCCTTACTTATTAAGCTCCTATTAACTATAAACTTACAAGTGTTGTTTTGCATGTGCTGTCTTGCATAAAAATTTGTGTGTTGTGCTGCCAAGACGCAAAAAATAAGAAATCGAGAAAATCAAGAGAAAGGCCACAATAAAAATTTTCTAAATAGGCTTATTGACTTCATAGAGGAGAAAAAAAAGATTGAAGGAGGAAGAAGAGAAAGGAAAGAGAAAAGAGAATGGTATAGGGTTGTACGTTATCATGGTCACTAGCACAAACATACAATCTCCTCTGATAAAATGACTAGATACCTTTTTTTTACATGAAATATTATACCGCTCATTACCGTGCTTGAGTCGCTTTCCTGTATCCATCCGATGATAAAATTATACTCCTCCCATATTCATCCTACCTCGTTGCAAATACTTGACCGTCACAATAACTTATGAACTAAATTAGGTACTCTCTACCGGATCGACTGTCGTCGTGATGGGAAGAGAGTACTAATAATAACTTATGAACTAAAATAGGTACTCTTTACCGGATCGACTGTCGTCGTGATGGGAAGAGGGTTTTAACAATAACCTATGAACTAAAATTAGGTACTCTCTACCGTAACGACTCTCGTCGTGACGGGAAGAGATATCTAACAATAACTTATGAACTAAGTTATGTACTCTCTACTGGATCGACTGTCGTCGTGATGGGAAGAGGGTACTAATAATAACTTATGAACTAAAATAGGTACTTTTTACCGGATCGACTGTCGTCGTGATGGGAAGAGGGTTTTAACAATAACCTATGAACTAAGATTAGGTACTCTCTACCGTAACGACTGTCGTCGTGACGGAAAGAGGTATCTAATAATAACTTGTGAACTAAATTAGGTACTTTCTACTGTAGCGACTATCGTCGTGATGCGAAGAGGTATTTGACAATAAGTAATGAGTTAAATTAGGTGCTCTTTACCGGATCAACTGTCGTCGTGATGGGCAGAGGTGTCTGACACTAACCTATGGACTAACTCATATGCGAGTTACCCTACCATCTGCCGGATCGAATGTCGTCATCACGAGTAGAGATGTCTGACACTAATTTATGAACTAAATGAGGTACTCATGTGTGAGTTACCATACTCTTTACCGGATCGACTGTCGTCGTGAAGAGGAGAATAGTCTGCTTCTTCAATTATCCCACCTTACATTCCCGCCGCCATCGTGCGTACATGATCCACCCTTCGTTTTGTAAATCGTACCAACGGATCATTACTTATGTATGGAGCTTACGCTCTTATTTTGCCGCAACAATCTATGAGAGGTTATCCCTTAACCACCATGTAGGGGAAATGCCTGAAAAACAATTATAGTAGGTTCGAGTGAAGTTTGTCATGAACTAGCCTGGTGGAAGCACTAGTTCTAATGAGGTTTGAATCTCAAATCTAGGTCAGTATTAGAAAATATAAGAAGGGTTGAATCTCCTCAATATCTCATCGTTAAAGTACCTCTTCTAAATAACGGGAAATGATGATGCTAAAGTGAGGGGAAAAAAAGGTGAAGCATACTGATAATTTCCTCCTGAAGTTGGATAATGTATGTGAGTGTCGAAAAAACCTTCAGAACCCTAAAAAGTGCATAGCTGTTAGGCTAACCACTTAAAGACTATGCGCGTTCACGAAGTCATGTGTCGTGCTTCCTGACTGTAGGTTTGTAAATAAAACTAACCTGATTACTTATTGTTACAAAATCTAAATAGATTATCAAATTCTTAAGAGCGATATGATATAGATCCTAATGATGGACTCGGTCTCTCGATAATATTCTGACTCTGAAGATTGCATCGTGCAACATATGGGCTTAGGACTATTTACTCAGAATAATAACCGTCTAGTTGTCAACATTATACTGTAGCAAAGTCATAGTAGGTATGTTTAGATAGCGGTGAACTAACGTATATCATGTTCATTCTTATACAAAGAACCTTGATTTTTCGGTATAGCTTTTAGAAGGACAAACTTGGATATGTATGGTAATGAGAGTCTAGAAAACTGATTATAAACTTAATGTGAATTGATATGAGTGAGTAAATGAAATAAAAGTCGGCGATACTATGTTTAGTAATCTCAACAGTTAAAGACCGACTAGCTAGTATGAATAAGTTTGTAATATTGAGGCAGTGTGATATGGGGTTTAATTGGCAGAGTTGTTTATTATAATAAGTTAATAACATTTAATCATGAGATATAAATTAATTATTTCATCAACCACTTAGTGACATATTAAGCCTTAGGGGCGAGAAGTATAGCGAGCGTAATATTATGTTATTTATTTGAAACATACGTATCCGTTTGAGGTTGTATATAGTAGAGTATGGTAATAAATTTGTTTTAGGAAACATTTCATAAAGAATCTGATTATATTTATTGAATTCTTGAAAAAGATATGAATGCACTCGAACTTTATCAGTTGGTCAAGCATTGAAAATTGTATCATGGGACTATTTTCTTGAATGACTATCTCCTTTGTTGTGCTCAATATGATCAGAGTATGAGAGTATCCACTTG